GACTCGCTGACCCGTGACAGCTTTGACTGCGACCGTGACCGGGTCGGGTCGAGCGTCAGATGCCCCCAAAGCGTGCAAAGGGAAAGAAGCCCGCTGCCGCCGCGGCGGCGCCGGGCCCAGCGGCGGCACTACTCGCAGCAGCAGCTTCCACAAGGCTGCAGTGGGCGCCGGCCCCAGGTGCAGCTCCTGGCCCAAGCACGTTGCCGCCGCCGGTCGTGCAAGCGGAGTATGGAACCGCCGATGATGACCTCGTGCGGGTCGGCCCCCAGCTCGGTGTCGAGCTCCTCCCGCCGCATCGGCGCGGCGGCAGAGCCGCCCCAGCCGCTGCGCCTTCGCCTGCGGAGGCTCCTGCGGCGGCTGCACCTGCTGCTGCGGGTGAGCCCGACGACGACGAGCAGCCTGACGGCGCGCGCATTCCAGACCTCGATGATGTCTTGGGCTGGGGGGGTGGCAAGGGTGTATGAGGGCTCTCAGGAGACCGTTTGCCGGCAGCAGGGGGCGCGCGCTCGGCCGACATGTGCGCCAGAATGCCGCAGAAGTAACTATGAAGTAACTGTGTTTGGGCTGTCTCCCGGGCGTGTTTGAACCCTAATTGTCGGCCCCAGTGACCGGTCTAGAGGTCTGTGTGTGGCCTGGGGGGGCCAAACAATAAGGCGAGGGGTTCCTAGTAAGCGGTTGGGTGCTGCGAGCCCGTGCTATAGTGCAGTGAATACTTACTTCCTCAAGTAACTTCATCCTTCAGATAGACATCGGAGCGTCGCTCGCGCGGCGGCACACCTGCTCAAATCGCGGCTGCCGACGATGTCTGATGGATCCTCCCGGCAAACGCACGCGGGTGGACGACTACTACTCAGCGAGCAAGAAGAACGGGCCGCCAAAGGCCACGTTCTCAACGCCGTTGCGCGGAGGTGACGACGAAGAGCTCGAAGCGACGCAGGAAGACTGTCACGGCTCCCAAGTCTCGGACCAGGCACCCGAGGAGCAGTGCGCCCTCGTCGCGGACGAGCGATCTGGGGTTATTCTCACGGTCGGCGCCGGAGGCCTTTCCATTGGACGCGGCGAGGACTGTGACGTGCAGCTCAGCGGCGACGAGGTGAGCCGGGCGCACGCACAGCTCTTGCTCACCTCGCAGGGGCTCGTGCTGCGGGCGCGGAACAAGTCCGTCTTCGTGCGCCGCGGTGAGGTTTGGGAGGAGCTCCCCGCAGGCGAGGAGACCCGCATAGAGGAGCAGCAGCGGTGGGGGCTGCTCCGCAAAAGCAACCGCTACAGGGTGCGCTCGGTGCCGCCGTTGTGCAAGGTGGGCTCCGGCTCCGGATCCTTTGATGCTGGCTATTCTCGCCTGCTGTGCCGGGTGCTCGCCGAGGGGGAGCTGCAGCGCAACAGGAAGGGCGTCAATCGGACGCTCTCAAAGGCCGCCTTCACCCTCGA